ACAACTTTGAATGCCTGCTGAATGCCAAATCAGTGAATTACACTACCTTACCACTTACACCCAACGCTTAACTAACACCAGGATTTACAATATGAGCGAACTTGGCCCAGATATTTTCAAAGGAGTTGATCTCAGTCCAACAGACCTGAATTTAGCCCCAAGAGCCAATGAGTTAAAGAGACTGGGGGAAGAGGAGGCAGCCCCAAATGTTAGTCATTTATAGTCTGAACCTCAGTGGAAGAAAACAAGAAATACTACAAGAAAAAGAACACCCAAAATCTGCATGACTGAAAGAGGCACATTTAATGCAAACTCTCCATATGTGCAAGAGTCTGCCAAGGAATGTACAGCTTCACTTTTAATTACTGTCAGGGAAAAAATAGCTAAAAATGAAAACAAAATAAAAAACCCTAAACACTAGAAATATGTCAACCACAAAATTCTAATTGCCGGACTGGTGTGATGGTCACTGCAGCTTTGAAGCCTAGGGATAGAGGTCCGTTCCCTGAACACTTGCTGATTCTGACAAGACTCTAGTTCAAAGAGGTCAAATGGGAGGAATTAGCAAGAGGGGTCTTTATGTTTACAAAACCAAAGTCCTTTTCTATAGGTTAAGGAAACTGGGTTGATCTGTAAGTCCATTTTAATAAGAATACTCAGCTCTTACCTACTGCAATACTGCCAAGCCCAACAATCAAAACCCACTAATCTTAACCCTAGGGAAGAAAGAAAAAGCTGAGATTCCCAAGGAAGCACACAAAACCAGGGGTGAGGCATTAAGAAAATTGACCAATATCACGAGACTCGCGATAGAGTTGCAGGAGGTGGTAACACTGCTATCGCTTTTCTTCCCCAAGTACTTTACAAAGAGAGGCAATATCATTTGGCCCTTTTACCAAGGGCTCAGAATGTTAGAAATGACTTGCCAAGCTGACGCAGCAGGGCCATAAGCATGGACAGGCAGGGAACTGTGGACTCCCATTCCAGAGCTCTACCCACTGGGATACGCTGCTGAGTTCAGTAGGCTCAGAGGAAGGCTCTTCCTAAGTTGGTGTCTGGTCCCAAGCGAGAACCACCAGACTGCTGCACAATCATTTTGCTCGAGGAAATCCCATCCCCCTATGCTCAATGTAAGATTCCAACTGTTTCTATGCTACAGCAGGCTGCCAATTTTGTCACTACATTTCACAGATAGATTGGCATACATGTTACATTTTAATTTTAACATTTTAAAATGCTTCTTTTTAAAAAATGACAAGAGGTTCCAGTTTATCCTTTACAGCTAGCAAAATTGGACTCATCTGACAGCTCTCCGCTTTGCTGACAGCTCTGGATTTGGGCCGATTCCATTGTCAATTTGATCGTTAACTCATTTTTGTTTAACCTAATTTTTTTAAAAATAATGCCCCACACAACTTGCCACCAAAATGTTAGATACAACAAATAAATCATAACAATTTAACCTCCATGTTTTGGTGTTCGTGTTATTGCTTATTACCCTTGTGCCCTACACAGTGAGACACCTCAGAGCTCTATCTATGTTGCTGAACAAAAAGAAGGAGTGATCTGATTGCAGTTTGTAAGTACCTACTTACAGAATAATGGGCCCTTCAATCTACTAGATAAAGATATAACAGGATTCAATGTCTGGAAGCTGAAGCCTGATAAATTCAGACTGGAAATAAAGTATAATTTTTACAGGGAGGACAATGAACCCCTGGAACCATTTACCAAAGGTCCTGGTGGATTCTCCATCACTGGCAATTTTTAAATCGAGACTGGATGTCTTTTTTTAAACAAAATGCTCTAGGAATTGTTTTGGGGGAACTTTTATGGCCTTTGCCATACAGGGGGCAAGCACAGATGATCACAACGGTTCCTCCTGGCCTTGGAAGCTATGCATCTGAGTGTTGGACGCCACAAACAGGGGCGAGGAACCTTTTTTGGGTCGGGGGCCTCTGACCCACAGAAAAATCAGCTGGGAGTCACACACAAGTGAGAAGCAAAAACACAAACAAATAAACCCCTCACTGACTGAGGAGAAAGACCCTCCCCACATTCTCCTCCCACACAGAGCCTACGGGGGCCCAGCCTAGTAGATTTTAATATGGAGACATACCTATCTCATAGAACCAGAAGGGACCTTGAGAGGTCATCGAGTCCAGTCCCCTACCCCCATGGCAGGACCAAGCACCATCCCTGACAGATTTACCCCAGATCCCTCAAGAACCAAGCTCACAACCCTGGGTTTAACAGGCCAATGCTCAAACCACTGAGCTATCCCTCCCCCATTTTGTGTGCTCCAGCCCCTGAGCCTCGGGGGCTGGAGCCAGGCAAGCCGGAGGGCTGCATCCAGCCCCTGGGCCTTAGTTCCCCACTCCTGGTTTACAAGGAGGAAATTTCAAGCTTTCCAATATGAGGCTAGAGGATTTTTTTTTTTTTTTTAAAGCTGGAATCCAAAAGTACATGAATTTTTCATCATGGCTCTGATGTCAACTTGCTGTGTTGCCTAGGGCAAGTCATTTACAATCATTGTGCCTCAGTTTCCCAATCTGTAAATTGGGCGAAATACTTAGCTACTTCACAGGCAAAAGGTAAGGGTCAACTGAAGCTTAAGCATTTTAAACGCAGTCAGGGAGACCTCTGTCCCAGCCTTCACTTCAGATACTGTCCCCAAATATTAATTTTACCAACTGCAAATAACAAAGATGAATGGAGAAATGCACACTTCGCAATAACCCATCACAGCCGTTCATTAGACAGAGGCGTTTGATTTTCCTTGGGGGAAAGGATTACATTATCCTGGGGGGACAAAGAGCTTGTGGGCCTCTCATAGGTTTGTCACACTCTGGAAGCAACTTGTTGGTTATGCAGAGGAGGAAGGATAAACGCAGAAGTTACATTTCACAGGTGATCAGTGCACCTTGCAGTATTAGACACCCGCAGCTGGCCCATGCAAGCTGACCCAGATTTGTGGGCTTGGGCTAAGGGCAGAGTTCCCGCTAAGATTTTCCAGCCATGAGTGGAGTAAGTTTTGGCTTCTGCACCAATACTGAGGTCAGGTACACTGGTTTGGAGATGTGCCATCGTGGCACCCAATTTATTAACACACACACGTTCCCGGCTGCCGGAGCAGAACCCCTCCCCCCCCACTTCCCCACCATGTGGCAGGTTATGTTCCCAGTTACCAGAGCAGACA